AGTTGAACTTGCTCCTGAGCCATCCTGCGCTTCCGGTCCCTGCGAAGAGATGCTTTATTCCTGGGGCAGGGATTGGAGGAGTAGGACCCTGGCTGCCTTCCCGCATCGAGTATCACCTCTCAAATCTCTCGGCCTCTCTCCCGTCTTTCCCTCTCTTTCCTTTCTACGGTCTCCCTCTGTGTATTCACTGGGGTCCCCATGAGGATACACCTTGAGGAGACCAGACCTGTCATCCTGATGGGGAAATTACTTAAAAGGGAAGACGGTGGTCAACAGCTATGGGGAGAAAATTGGGGAGCAACCACATGGGAGCCAGTAACCAGACACCAAATCTCAGGAGCGTGCGTGCTCAGTTGTGTCCGACTCTGCGACCCCATGGACTGTAGCCCACCAGGCCTCCTCTGTCCACGGGACTCTCCAGACAAGAACGCTGGCGTGGGTCGCCATGCCCACCTCCGGGGGATCTTCCCTGCGTCTCCTGCATCGGCAGGAGGATTCTTTACCCCTGAGCCACCATACAAGGAGGGAATAAAATCGGGAGCTCGGAGGCGCTGACTCCCTTTGGAAAGTCAGCCGGGAGGAGGCGGCGGCGAACCCGGCGATGGGAACTCGCTGCTTAAAGAAGCGAGAAGGGGGCGCCGAGAGCGCGCGCCCACGGCTCACCTGGGTCCCCACAGCCCCCCTTCTGCATTGGCACTGCCGGGAGCGCGCCACGGAGGCGCGCGGCGCGATTCTCGGCGCGGAGCGCGCACAGGCTGGGATAGGTCCGCCCGTCGCTGCCGCACACGGTCGCTCCCGCCGCCGGGCAGCCGCAGGTGCCCAAAGGGCGGCCGCCGAGGGACCCGGGCGCGCGCGGCGCGCGGCACTGCAGTCCCGGGGCGCACGGCCGGCCCAGCGGCCCGCCGCAGGCCTCGCCCTCGGCCGCGGCGCAGACCCGGCAGCACCCGCAGCGGTCGAGCACCGGCGCGGTCCCCGTCGAGCACCGGGGCAGCGGGGGGCAGCGCGTGGGTTCGCAGGCCGCAGGGCAGGGCGGCACGGGCCAGGCCCGCCCGGCCTGGACCCCGCGCCCAGCTGGCGCGGGCAGCAGCAGCCACAGCAGGACGAACGGTCCGAGCCCGGCAGGCCGCCGCAGGGGTCTGGTCATCCTTCTCGCGTCCTGCTTCCCTTCCGCCTTCCCTCTGGACCCTCTCAGATGAGCAGCAGTCTCCAGACTGGGGTGCTGCCTTCGCCAGCCCCCGACTTTAAGGGGCAGAGACTGGCAGTCCTCACCATACCGCCCCCCCCCCCGCCGTAACCCCCCTTCAACCCATCCCGTCCAGTCCCAGGAGATGGAGACTTGTCCTCCGCCCTTCCCCGAGCCCCCCCAGGGACCCACCTCATGAAACCAGTAACACCCAGGACGGGGGCAGACTGACAAGACACATCACCCACCCACGGACAGACGGTCAGCCTTAGGAAAGCATGCACCACATTTCAGTATTTCACGTGGTTTTATTACAAAACAAGCAACAAAACAGTTTTAGAAAATTATTTTTGCTACATACCAATTAGGAGATCACATAAAATGAGAAGCGTAAGAGTTTCCATGCACTCAGCTCAGGCTGCAAGTCAGTGCATTTCAGCTGAAACAGGCTGGTTCAAAACACAGGATCATACCACACCTTCTGGAACAGCGGGTAAGGGGTCAAACAGTATGGTTTTGGGCCAAATATTCACTTTATTCAAACTCTACCAGGCATGAGTGACTGTAATTCACTACTGCAGGCAATAACACAGAGAGAAAAGGGGAGTAAGGGAATAGAAAGTGATGGCTGGTAGAAACTATTTCTGACATGTTGGAAGCTTATAAACAAAGCTAATTTGGGAAACTCAATTTCCAAAATGCTAGTTACTACCTCCTTATGTCTATCTAGTTAACAGTGAAAACAAACATATCTAATCTGACAGCTCAGCTACTGAATCTGCCACTTACGTATTGGATCCTTTTAGTCCATATCAGACCACAGTTACGTTGTGGGGGAGGGGAGGTAAGAAAAACAAAAAAACTCCCTTCTGCTTCAAGTGACCTATGAAGTTGGACTCTGGAAGCCCAGCATTCTATTCAGAAACCGATGTGTACCTCTTCTGTTTTCACCTAAAATCACCTTACTTGATGAACATCTTAGTAGAACTGTCATCTCACAGAATGCAAAAGGCCAAACTACCTTCAACAGCCATCAGCTGACCCTGAGTTAGCAAATCCTTAACTTTCAAGAACCTGAAACTGTTAAGACTCAGTGGGTCAAGACCACGTCTAAAGTCTTATGAAAAACAGCAACTCAGAAAATGCTTTTATTCCATATACACACAAAAATGCAGTACCTTTTTTGGTTCCTTTTTTTTTAAAGAAACAAGACTTATTCCAGAGCCTATGCACTTAACTACTAACTGATCCTGCATCCCTGCCCTGTTTTTCCCATTTGGTTCCACTTTTCACATTTCAAACCAAACGCTTTGGTCGTACATGCACCATCTTTGGCTCACACATGTAGTGACGTTAAAAGGTATGATGTGAAATTAACCAGAAGCTAAGAAACAATGGACACAAAAGGGATTCTGAAATAAGATTTGGCAATGAGCATGCCTCTAGGCTTCACTGAAGATAGTTATATTTATCTGGTGTTGGAGCTACGTTAACAACATTCTAACTGGGAATTCCCAAGTATCTGCCAACTAGAATCCTTGTTTTCCCTCTATCATGGTAATACAATCTGGATTTATAAGTATGTTGAATTTAATACATTCTCAAAACAGCTCTTACTGAGTAAGAAACAGATCAGCTTACTGTAATGGCCAATTAATTTAGCAGTAGTAATCTAGCAGAGAGCTTACTGAAAAGAGAGGAAGAAATGGGTAGATTTTCACATCTGACACACCAAGAGATGACATCTTTCCATGAGTCAGGGAATGTATGAGAGATCTCAAAAGTTCCTAATTTATTTTTATTAGTTCTGTATCTCTGTGCACTTTCTTTGACCTAGCCAAAGAATTTTCTTATGGGAACTTTGAAGATGAAACCTGAGACAAAGAACTTGAAGAATTGGGAATGGCTTCTTGAAATCGGGTGACTTGAAATATGTTGTCACCTGATTACTCATATATAAGTAATCCCCAAAGAAGGGATTTTCAAGACAAAAGTATACAAGAGGCTTCAGAATAAAGAAAAGAGAAAGAGAGAAATTCAGGGTAGATTTCCTTTTTCAAACCAGGACCGGTGGGCCAAACAATTTAAGTGAAGCTTATCACTAAAGCAATTCAGTCAAGAAAAGTTCAGAACCTGACAAGGAAACTACCTGCCTGAAAGAAACAGATTTCCCTCAAGCCACTAAGGATTTTCTGACCACGTGTTTTTTGCTGCTGTTGGATGTGAACATCAGGAGGGGAAGGGACTGACTTAGGTAAAAATGCTTCTCTTAGTCTCCTGGTCTATTTGTTAACTTTTAATTTAAAGACAAAAATTAACTCATCTAGCTGATACAAAGTTATAGACAGAAATGAGTCAAAATTCCCTCCCTTTAGGGAACCCTGGTAGCAGTTCACCACATAAGCTGGACAGACAGATTCTCCCAGGAACCCTGGAAATAGTATTTCTTGACAAATGGAAGAAGGTACATCCTAAAATACAGGATGGGAAATACAGTCTATGCTCTTCTACCTGGGAAATCTCTAGCCAGTAATGCAGAGCCTCTAAATCAATGTTTCTATGCACAGTTTCTATTCTTGTTAAAAATATAAATATCTGTCAAGGCTAACTTTGTTATCTCCTCGGTGTTAAGCACACAGAACCTCATCAGACGATGAGGTGTCCTCATGCAAGTAGACACAAGGCATCATCCAAAAGGCAACACAAAGAACAGAAAGAAATCAAATCTGCCAGGTATACTATGTACAGCACTGAAAACGAGACTAGTATCAGCCCATGAAAGAAGAGTTGAGAGGCCAGGACCCGAGGTAATATGTCTCTGCTAAAAGAGAAAAAGGGAAAACATGAATCAAGACATTTTAGCTGGGTGAACTAAACTCCATCTCTTCCTGGCACCTGCTTTATAGCAACTCTCAAACTCTAAGATAGAGATCTGATGGATCACACAAGTGAATTACCATACACTCATCAACCCTCCAACACATTTCAGTTAACACCATATCAAGGGCAATGTCTGTTTCGTTCTCAACACTGAACACTGATAGTATCAGCCCATCCTAAGGGTCTGACACAGAAACGGGGCGGGCAGGTCTATCTCTCATGGCGACAGTATTTGGGGTCAAAGAACATCTCAAAGAGAACAGAGTAATTCTCAAAATTGGCTGATGCACTGGGGTTGAATTAGTCCCCCATACCTTCAAAAGGCCCCTATTTCTTCCCTTATGGCAGTCCCCTGTGTTGGGGGGGGCGGGCAGAATCTCCCTGGTTGACATCCGGGGCCTCCCATGAGCCCCCAGATTTTAACACCATCCCTTAGAATGTATCCTGACCAAGCTGGAGCCTGGGTCCCCCGCTCCCCCAACCACTACCACCCCCCCCAACCCTTTCAGATGGGTTAGTTACCAGCCTCCCACTTCACAGTCAAACTTCCGCCAATGTATAAGAATAGGATAAGACCAAATGACTGGCCTTAAAGTTCTGGCCTGGCCTGAAAACAAAGGGAAGAAGCTAAGACAAAGACAAGGAACTGAAAACTGGTTAGGAATGAAACTGGACTTCCAACCTACTCTCACCAGGTGGACCGTGGAAGAGTCGAGCAAGAGGCACAACGAGCAAGCCGACAAGTCTAACCTAGTGACCTTCCCAAATGAAAAACACTGCACTCATTTTCTGTAAAAAGTCAGCTGGATTCCCACTCCAGGGCTCCACAGAGATGCGAGTGCCAGGAAGGTGTCTGATTGTCCTGCATCAGATGGAGACACCGAGTCACGGCCCCTTGTCTGAGTCCACCCCCTCCCTCCCAGGGCACTGAGTATCATCACACATCAGAGGTCCGTATATTTTCATCATCGAGGTTGAACACAAATGGCTTCTCCTTGGGGTGCTGGGGTTCCGATCGGTGCCTTATCCGGGAGCTGGACGGCACCCCAGATGTACTGCTCTCCCCAAGTCGAGGCGTAAACAAAGAGTCCTCAGAAGTCTCTTCAGTGGGAAGCAGCTTTTCCCCGGCCTGGGGGACGGGTGTCCAGGGCTGCCAGGAGGAGGCCAGGGAGGGAGCTTTGCAGAGGGTCTTTCTCTCCTCCCCAGGAACCCGCCCTCTGCACAAGACAGAGTTGGGCCCCCCTGAGAGGCTGGAGCTTCCGGGGCGGGTCAAAGAAATGGACCGAGAAAAGGACATCTCCTGCGGAAAATAAAAGAGGGAGGGGAAAAAAAGAAAAATAAGGTTTCCTGACAATATTCGTCCCAAAGGCCCAGGAAGAGGCCCTCTGCCCAGGATCACCTCCTCACAGGCCCAGAGATACATGTCTACAGAAATCAACTATGTACAGCAGTGGCATTCACTCCGCAGGTGTCAAGGACTCCCTGGGAGGGAGATGTGTAGGACACATCAGAAGCCCTGGTTCTCTATCCAACTCTACCTCACCTCCTCCAATGACTGAACAGAAATAAAAATTTGTACCCAGATCAGTGGAAACAGAAAAACAAACAAGACAGCTCGGGGCTTCTGCTGCATCTGGGCTCTGGGCTGCTTGCCTACATCACCAAAACCCGCCCACTCGGGACAACTCATCGCAAGGCTGACAGTGACTGAGCAGGAAGGAAGTGACTTACTCTGGGGTGGCACTTGAGGGCCTGGACAGCTGCCCCGATCTCCTTAATCCAGCTGTGCATGTCTTCCGGACTGTCCGCCTGCAAAACACCCAAGGCACGTACAGAGCCACGAACAGCACTGCAACTTCAGCTTCCACGTCTGTGACTCAATTCTAAGTTCAGAAAACCACACCACTGGAGCAGGAAGGGATCTCAGAGATCATTCAAGTGGCTTTCGGACCTCTGAGGATATTTGTTTTCCCCCAGCAAAGTTGTCTCTGTCACCTTATCAATAAAGTGGACAGTGGTTGTGAGAAAGGGAGAGCTTAGAGGTGAAGTCCCTCACCCTCTGTGGAACAAGATCAGCCCGGCCTCACCTCCTGTTTTACAGAAAAATAAAAGAAGGTTCAGAAAACCAGAGCCCAAAGTTTAGGGCTGGTTTTGATTCCACTCCCCAGATACCCAAAGCAGTCATCTTTCTGTTTTACTATAGCTATCTGAACAAATAATCCCACTTCCAGCTCCAGTCCCACTGAAACTAAATCCTCTGCAAAATCTCCCAGAGAGGCAGCTTCTCCAGGAACAGGGCCCAGTTCCTGGAGAAACTGCCTCTCTCCAAAAACAAACGATCTGGGTCTGTCCTGAGTCCCACGCAGGGCTCCACATTTGCTAGACTTGGAGCACTTGGCTCACCAATGCGTACCGCACTGCTGAGCCCTTAGAAAGTTCTTGCCCTGGGAATTCCCTGGTGGTCCAGTGGTTAGAACTCCGCACTTCCACTGCTGAGGGTGAGGGTTCAATCCCTGGTTGGGGAATTGAGATCCTGCAAAATGCACAGTGTAGCCCGACTTCCCCCTAGAAATACCAAGCAACCCCAGAAGAGGGCAGCAGCGGATCTGTGAAGAAAGGAAAATCCCAGGCTGACATAGCAGGTGGGAGCCCCAGGAATTCTTAGGGCCTTCCAGCTTTACCAGGTTGAGCTCAAGTGATCCTGGCAAACGTTTACTGAGGCCTTACCCAGTGTGACATGTGACATCAGGCACAGAGTTGGGACCAAGACTGAAGGCCTGACATTCAGAAACTTACATTTGTTCACCTCTCTTTGTCTCCCTGCACTTTCCTCGGGTAGAGCCACCCCAAATTACCAGCATGCATTTGTGTGCCTGGGCACACGTGAGTGCAATCACAGGCTGGCCCTGCAAAAGTTTCCACATACACCCCTCACTGTCCCCACCCCCAAAATGTTTCTTTCTCTTTTCATTACACACCAAGGTAATACACGACTGATTTTTTTAAAACCCTCAAACAAAAAGCCGGCCTACCCCTTCCTGTCACGCCAAACCAACCCTCCCTGGTTAGATGTGTGCAGGACACTTACAACAGGAGCAGTTTCACACCCCAGTGCGCTGGGCCAAAGAGAGGCAGCAAGGGTGCCCCAGTGGAAGAACTTTCTCACGCAAATCCACCTGCTCCCTCTTTCCCGGGGACTTTTCCCAGTTACTGGACAGCCCAGTGGCTTCCCAGAAAAATAGAGACCCAGGACACAGTCTCCAAGATTCTTCCAGAAGGCATTTTACTTACAGCAGGGCTAGCTGACTTGATCCACAAGTAGAACTACTAGGAAAAATTACATGAACTCATTTAGCCAAAGCAGTTTGAAAGTGCCTGATACACAGAAAGGGCTTCATATTAGTTATCACTGTTGTTATTACTATTATATGAGGGACTCAAATGAAGCCTTAAATTCCAATATTATAAATGTTTCGTGGCCTTCTCCCCTACAACTTTTTTTTTTCATTTTCTTCATATTCAAACTGCCTATAATTCTAAAGGGATCAAATTGTTGGGATCAAGTAAGATAACATACTTTTCTTAATATGCTTATTTATCAACTCCATAAAATGGTTTACAGACAGGAAGCTGACCAGGTCTTCACTGCCTACCTGTTTTCTGTTGTATTCTTTTCAGCCTTCCTAAGGATTTCTGTACATATTTCTATATTTCTTGAAGTCTCTCAGATTCCTTGGGTTATTTGAAAATATATTGATCATTATTTCTATTATAAATAATGTTATTCATAAATGCTCATCTCTACTTCTATAGTTTGGACATTTAAAGTAAAATTATCTTATATTTTAACTTGCCTTTGAGACATTTCTTTTCTCTGGATAAACATTATTCTAGTGCTTAAAATATTTTTCAAATAGAAAGGCAGATATTGATCCCACATGAGAAGAAGTAGAATATTATGTTATTGAGCTCACAGTTAAAATCTCTATTAGTAGTTTTAAGAACTGGACTCCATGGACGATAGAAATTCAGTGAAACCTCCAAAACTATATGTGAAGATTATAGTATATGCGTATATCTGTCTTTTATGGAAAGCCTGTGCTTAGCTTTCATCAGAAACTCAAAAATATCTTAAAACCACATCACAAAGGTAGTTTCATGAACCAGAGGTAAAAACCAGAGCTGAAATCCACCCACCCTATGGTGAATTACTAAGAGACTGAAAAAAAGGCTGAAAACTCAGTAGAACAAGAAGGGAAGTGCCAAGCTTATATGTTCATCTCTTACGGGTCTGCTTAAGTGTGTGCTATGCTTCTGGTGCTTGGTTCAAAAGAAAAAGCAGGGTTTCTGTCCTTGAGGGCAGTTTTTGAGGTGAGAGGAACAAAGGGTATTAAATGAATCACTGCAGACTGTGGTTTTTATTGCAGTCTGATGAGCTTTGACTGAGGATCTGCTATCAGCATTACAACAGATGCAACGGTTTTAAGCACTGAATTCTAACAGGTCATCAATAAAAGGCTTCTAGAACCTCCTTTGGTTGTCCAGTGGTTTCCCCTGCAGGGGGCACAGGTTCAATCCCCTGGTCAGGGACCTAAGATCCTCATGCTGCAGTTAAAAACAAAAAATAAGAGACTTCCAATATATATTACTGGTTACTTCTGTTGCAACTGCCCAGAATTTTTAGGCAGCCCTTCTCAATTCTATTCCCAACCTCTGCAGCCCTCACTTCCAACAGCTAATCACCCCTACCCTCTCCCCAGGAGCAAATCCCATCTTCAGATACAGCCCTGCCACGTATGATCCATTCAAAGGGCAAAACTGACCACAGTCATCTGAAAGAGAGATTAAAATATCCCCTTTTCCCAAAAACATGTCTCTGCGGGGCCAGATTTTCTTCATACTCTTCCATCAAAACAACATATGGCCACAGACTGAATGCAGAAGCAGATCTGAGAACCCTGCTGTCTTCCAATAAGCCAGCCATTAAAGAGATTTGCAAAAATACCAAAAAAAAAAAAAAAAAGCTACTCCTGTTGCTTCTCTGTTTTAGAAACAGAGTTATTTTTCATAAAATGTTACTTGTGATAACACAAATGAGTTTACAGTGGCTGTTTTTAAATGAATAAATACATATTCTTAAAGAGTTTTAATCTCTACTCTTCTCCAACTTTCTGAGTCTGCTGCTATACACAGATTTGCCCAGTCCCTCATTTATTTATTCAGGGCCATGCGAGGGTTCTTTTACCCTAGAAATGTGACAGCAGATGGAAAAGGACAGAAGTGATGATAAGGTTCTGGTTAATGTGCAGACACTCTTGCCAACGATGCAGTGTCTTCTGAACACTTCTTGGTCGCGTTCATGTTTCCCAAGTCACTATCTCCACCCAAAACTCTGTCCTAGACTCTCACCTGGCATCATCATTCACCTGACAAATGCTTACTTAGCACCACCACCATGTCAGGCACCATCCATCTAGGGCTGTCCTAACAGGTCACCTTGGACATCTTGCAGGAACCACAAACACAACCACCCGTGCAAGGCTTCCCTTTGCCCTCGACAGCCCCTCCTTCCGTGTATCCGTCCTCCGCGGTGACGGCTGCCATCAGTCGCCCTGAGGCTCCAGCCAGGCATCTGGGCAGGGTCTTCACCTCCCGTCTCTCCCTTCATCCCACATCCAATCAACTTTAAAGTCCTGGAAAGGACTCTTCAAATTTTTCCACTCTTCTTCACCCATCCAGTATCAGGCTTCTTTATCCCCCACTGAAACCATGACAATAGCCTCCCAATGGCTCCAGTCTCACCCTTTTCCTATCTGTCCCCTACACTGCCAAGCCACTACACCGCACCAGCCAGGACATTCATTGCCAGGGTCCAGGATACCATCAAAGTGGCCAGGATCAAGGATTACCATCTCCCTTTTACAGACGAGGAAAACAACGCTCTGTTTTCTTACGCCATTGTGCAAGTGGGATTTTTAAGAGGCAGATCTGATTGGGTCACTGCCCCAGCTTAACCTCCAAGGGCCTAACCCCCAGGATAAAATACAGCTTTTTAACAAGGACCCTCTGTATCAGCTTTCCAGCACCTGAGCCTCTTTCACCTCTAGGCTTTTTTTTTTCACATGCTGCTTGCTGTTCCCTCTCCCTGGGCCAATACTTCGGCCACCTGATGAGAACAGCCAACTCATTAGAAAAGACCCTGATGCTGGGAAAGATTGAGGGCAGGAGGAGAAGGGAACAACAGAGGATGAGATGATTAGATACCTTCACCGACTCAATGGACACGGAACTTGAGCAAACTCCAGGAAATAGTGGAGGACAGGGAAGCCTGGTGTGCTGCAGTCCATGGGATCACAGAGAGTCAGACATGACTTAGCGACAACAACTCCCTGGGCCACTTTTCCTCCATCTTCCTTCAGGAAACTTCCCTTAACTCCGAGCCTAGGGGAGGTACCCTTCTTAGCAGTTCCCATAGCAACCACTACTTACTCTAAGGGTAGCCCTTCTCACACTTTCTTATTTTTTTCCCCCCACCTCCATGAGTGAGGTTGCTTCATACTTTAACACACATAGGTTCTTTGGTCACATTCTGCATGCCATACTGGGATCACCCAACCGTCTAAATGATTTTTTTAACCTGCATATATTACAGGTTAATACTCTGTGCTGTAAAATTCAATTTCACACATCTGCCACTACAGTATCATACAAAACCATTGCCTGCATACTAAGTCGCTTCAGTCGCGGCCAACTCTTTGCGACCCCTATGGATTGTAGCCTGCCAAGCTCCTCTGTCCATGGGGATTCTCCAGGCAAGAGTACTGGAGTGGGTTGCCATGCCCTCCTCCAGGGGATCTTCCTGATCCAGGGATCAAACCCCTGTCTCTTACGTCTCCTGCATTGGCAGGTGGGTGTTCTTTACCACTAGCGCCACCCGGGAAGCCCGCGGAATAGTTTCACTGCCCTAAAAGGTCGCCTGTGTTCATCTCCCCAACACGCCAACCCCCCCCCCCATCACACTGTTCTAATTGCTGGTTTTCTTGACTGTCTCCCTCTCTGGTTCAGGATCTATTCTGTTGAACGTCGGGTCCCCAGGACGAGGCAACGCCCTTTACTCTGAGAAGACTCTACAAATATCTGTCAAATCTAGGAACTGGAAGTTCTTGTTGCACCTACAGCTCAGACTTTGGCCCCGAACAGCACAGAGGCTGCTCGAAGGCCCCAGCACTTTCCAGGGCTCTTCCCGGGTGTTCATCTGGATGAATGGAACCCACAGATGCCTCCAGCTGTCAGCAGGTCTGCTAGGCTCAGCCAGGGGGACCCACTTGGAGGGCGTGGCTGCTCACGGAATGGCTAAGAGGAGACCTCGCAAAAAGGAGGGCATTTAGTGGGGAGCATGTAGGGAGCCCTGAGAAACTATGTGCAGGGAGGCCCCAAATTTCAACCAACACACCCCACAGCAGCCCTGGCACAAGAAAGGCAGCAGCATCGCCAAGGCGGGGGAGCCAGGGGGCACACCGTCTGTGGACTGACCACTAGGCGGGCCGGGGTGGGGACTAGGCCTTGAAAGTCTAGGCCATGCTAGAGGCTGGAAATCTGCCTTTCCAGCTCCCATGATCTGAGGAGGAGTTGGGAGGACTCCAAAGCCGTGGGCAGAGGGGAGACGCTTCTGAGAGCTGAACGGTCGGCGCCCACACAATGGCTTTCTCTGTGCAGCTGGCTATGCACCTGGTCCCCGCACAGGGCCCTCTGTGCTCTGGTCCTTCCGCACGCAGCGCCATCCACACACAGACGGGGCTTATAAATACCCTCCAAGGGAGAAGTGAAACCACTGACCAGTTCTCCTTTTCTCTGCTTAGCTGGCGCCCGGCAGCTGAGAGCAGCTGGTACAAGCTCACCATCCCCAGCGAGGTGGCTCGGGCCGCTCTTATTATTTTATGGTTGGAAAGCTTAGGGGCAAACATCCTGTTTAGAATGAAACGGGACCCAGACTGACTATCGGGGGGCTAAATTTACCGCTGAGAAACTTTGAACAAAATAAAAGAGAAAGCAAAGGGAAAAGTAGGCCTGCAAGCACGCTCGCCACAGAGAAGGAAAGTCCCCGTCTTCTCGGCATCAGGGAGGAGCTTTTTACCTGGACGTAGAAGGTCCTGGAGCTGGTTATTATTTCAAACAGGTTGTCCCTCATCAGCAGATCGCTAGACAGAGAGAGGGAAAGAACGTTACCAGGTATGCTGGTCACCCACTGGGGACCTGACTCAAGCTAAGACGGGTACCTGTGCTGCCTACCATAAAAAGGGGGTTCACAGGCCATTCCTCCTGCAACCCCTGCCTCAGAAAGCATTGCCGTGTTTCCTTCAGCTTCACTTCCTGGAGGATCTCCAGTGGTTTAATCATCCCCAGAGCCACCCCCTCCCCAGTACACAACACCACCAGTTCTCACAAGACAAAGCTCCTTTGCTTCTAAGACCTCTTGCCTCATATGCACCACACCCCCACACTGCCTACAGTTGTGTTTCTTTAGTGGCCAAGATGTATCAAGTGCTTTGTGAGAGGTACCCTTTTGAGGGATTTTAGGGTCAAGTAATGAAAGTCTTATTGGATACAAACACACACATGTAAAAACACAAGCTGTTATATATCCATTATATCTACATTAAATATATATATTATATACATATATTATTTATTTGTATGTATTATAGAGAGATAACAGACATATAACAGTATATTCATAAAAAAACCCAGTAAATTTGTTTCCAGTGTACAACATGATTCGATATTTGTGTATACTGTAAATGATCACTGTCTAGGCAACACTCACCATGCTACATAGTTAGAATTTGTTTTCTTGTGATAAGATGATAACTTTTAAGATCAACTCTTTTAGCAACTTTCAAATACAGTACCCTTAACCATAGTCACACTCCATCCCCAGGACTTATTTATTTTATACCTGGAGGTTTGTACCACTCAAACCCCCCCACCCATTTTGGTCACCCCCAACCCTCCACCTCTGGTAACCACCAATCTATTATTTGTGCTTTTTAAAAAATCTTTTGGCTGAGCCATATGGCATGTGGGACCTTACTTTCCCAACCAGGATCAAACTGATGCCCCCTGCATTGGTGGTACAGAGTCTTAAGCACTGGACCATAGGGAAATCCCTGTCTTTGCATTTTGAGATGCGCTATTTTATCCAATCTTCACCACCATTCAATGAGGCAATAAGACTCCCCACTGGGGGAACCTAGGCTCAAAGAGGTTCTGTGACTTGTCCACGGCACCGAAGTAAGTAAACGGCAGAGTCAGGATTTGAACCCAGGTCTGATTCCAGAGTCTACACTCTTAATTACTTCACCACCAGGTGCCTCTCCTAAGGGACCCAAATCTCTCATTTCCAAAGCCTTTCTCCATCCACACAGCAACCACATCCGCTTCACCAAATCCCTGCTCTCAGGAGGGGGCCAGATGCGAAAGAGGAGAAAGGGAAGGAGAGTGTGGACCACTTGAAGGTGCTTCAAACTGAGGGTGAGGTTTGTAAGAGGGATCTGACTTCTGCAAGGAAGAAGGCTAGAAGTAGCTGGTGCTTAGCCACAAGCCTCCAAATGGCCGAAATGATTTCCAGGGTGAAACGCCTGCCTGGTGTATCCAGTCTCTAGGGGAACATACAGGAGCAGGAGATCCACCTCCTTCCCTATAAAAGACCATTAAAAAGCAAAACTATCGAGTCAGATGCTGAAGTGTGTGTTACATGCCGAGAGTTAGAATGATTCCAAGAAAGGACTAACCGCAGGCGGACATCCCTGGCGGTCCATCGATTAAGACTGAGCTTCCCCACAGTCATCAAGACAGTATGGTACTGGCACAAAGACAGAAATATAGATCAATGGAACAGAACAGAAAGCCCAGAGACAAATCCACGAACCTATGGTCACCTTATCTTCGACAAAGGAGGCAAGGATATACAATGGAAAAAAGACAACCTCTTTAACAAGTGGTGCTGGGAAAACTGGTCAACCACCTGTAAAAGAATGAAACTAGAACACTTTCTAACACCATACACAAAAATAAACTCAAAATGGATTAAAGATCTAAATGTAAGACCAGAAACTATAAAACTCCTAGAGGAGAACATAGGCAAAACACTCTCCGACATAAATCACAGCAGGATCCTCTATGACCCACATCCCAGAATTTTAGAAATAAAAGCAAAAATAAACAAATGGGACCTAATGAAACTTAAAAGCTTTTGCACAACAAAGGAAACTATAAACAAGGTGAAAAGACAGCCCTCAGATTGGGAGAAAATAATAGCAAACGCAGCAACAGACAAAGGATTAATCTCAAAAATATACAAGCAACTCCTGCAGCTCAACTCAAGAAAAATAAATGACCCAATCAAAAAATGGGCCAAAGAACTAAACAGACATTTCTCCAAGGAAGACATACAGATGGCTAACAAACACATGAAATGATGCTCAACATCACTCATTATCAGAGAAATGCAAATCAAAACCACAATGAGGTACCATTATATGCCAGTCAGGATGGCTGCTATCCAAAAGTCTACAAGCAATAAATGCTGGAGAGGGTGTGGAGAAAAGGGAACCCTCTTACACTGTTGGTGGGAATGCAAATTAGTACAGCCACTATGGAAAACAGTGTGGAGATTTCTTAAAAAGCTGGAAATAGAACTGCCATATGACCCAGCAATCCCACTTCTGGGCATACACACCGAGGAGACCAGATCTGAAAGAGACACGTGCACCCCAATGTTCATCGCAGCACTGTTTATAATAGCCAGGACATGGAAGCAACCTAGATGCCCATCAGCAGACGAATGGATGAGGAAGCTGTGGTACATATACACCATGGAATATTACTCAGCCATTAAAAAGAATTCATTTGAATCAGTTCTAATGAGATGGATGAAACTGGAGCCCATTATACAGAGCGAAGTAAGCCAGAAAGATAAAGACCATTACAGTATACTAACACATATATATGGAATTTAGAAAGATGGTAACGATAACCCTATATGCAAAACAGAAAAAGAGACCCAGATGTATAGAACAGACTTGTGGACTCTGGGAGAAGGCGAGGGTGGGATGTTTCAAGAGAACAGCATCGAAACATGTATATTATCTAGGGTGAAACAGATCACCAGCCCAGGTTGGGTGCATAAGACAAGTGCTCGGGCCTGGTGCACTAGGAAGACCCAGAGGGATTGGGTGGAGAGGTGGGAGGGGGGACCGGGATGGGGAATACATGTAAATCCATGGCTAATTCATTTCAATGTATGACAAAAACCACTGCAATGATGTAAAGTAATTAGCCTCCAACTAATAAAAATACATCGAAAAAAAAAAAGACTGAGCTTCCACTGCAGGGCCTAATGGATTCCATCCCTGGTCCAGGAACTAAGAACCCACAAGCCGAGCGGCATGGCCAAAAAAAAATTTTTTTAATGGAAGAAAGAAAAGACAGGACTGATCACAGGCAGGGCTGGCTTCAGGAATCAGCACCTCAAAGGAAATGGCAGATGCAAGGCCAGTGACAGGGGCATGTGGGCAAAAGAGAAGCAAGAGATTAAAGACCCCCAGGGGAGGGGACAGCTATGAGGGGGGAGGGCGGTCAGACAGACTTAGGGCCTGATCTGACTCCACTGGGAAATGGTATTATGGGAATATGGTAAATGGGAATATGTTTAAAACTTCGTGAGCCTTTGCACTCCAGCTGTACAATGGAAATCAGAAGCCCGTCTCTATCAAGCTTATCACCACAAAGGTCTGTTATAAGTTATATGCGGCATCTGGTGCAAAAAGAAGGTCACACAGTGCTCACCTGAAATGCATGTCATTAGCTATTGTAGTCCCTTTCTGAGTATCTGAGAAGAGATGGCACTTCCTTCTGGCTAAAGTGGTTTAACCTTTCAAACTATTCATGCACGTACATACAGTCATGTAATCAACTGCTGGGGAGGAAAAAGCAAAACCAGGAGGAAATCCCCACCCTTTTTGCATCCATTTCTCAGGCTGTATGAAGCCTTTTGTGCTTAGCTGCTTCAGTCGTGTCTGACTCTTTGCAACCCCATGGATTGTAGCCCGCCAGGCTCCTCTGTCCATGGGATTCTCCAGGCAAGTATACTGGAGTGGGTTGCCATTTCCTTCTCCTATGAAGCCTTTAAATTAAATTAAATTCAACAAACATTAACTGACTACCCAGATGCCCAGAACCCCCCTGACTGGGCTGGGGAGAAGTCGAGTCTCACAGGCCTGGAACCTGCAGCGTCTGGGAGCTTCCTTCCCTGGGTATCTGCCTGTCTCTCAGTTCAGTCTGACTTCCAGTCAGCAGCTCATGTGACGTGTGAGGCACTCTTAGGACTGAACCTTTTCTGGGTTCTCTAAGCCATCCCAGCCCACCCATTGACCTGCACAGGCCTCCAGGGTCGGGAACAAGTCCCATCTCTCCTCCACCCACGGTCACCTCCAGAGCCACGCTTCTGGAACTTCCATCTGTAACTGCTCTCACAAATGATAATCGATCGGTGGGAACTTTCCTTATCTTCTAAACTCTGCAACTGTGTACAAGGTTCACGACAGTCCCCACTTCCTTGGGCCACAGAGCACCTCGCTTTCATGCAAGACCCTCCCATGCCTTCACATGAGAACAGTCAGCCTGACGTCATCAGCTCCCCTGGTGACACTGGCGCTGCACGCACAGTCCATGGGAGGGACATATGGCAAACTGCCCCTGCAGACTGCAGACGGAGGGCCAAGTGAGGACCGCCAGGTGCCCAGAGGCCCCTGGGTCTCTTAAGCTTGGCTCCAAGGGCACCGGTATGAGTGTCGGATATGGGAGAGCCATTGAATGGGCCCCAGGTCCCAAATTTGTCCTGCCCTCCATGGCCCTGGAAAGGTAACCATTTCCTGGTGGAAAGAGGAACATCTTAAAAAAATACTTCTTCTTCCTGCCCAACAGCACTGCCGTGAATCAGCCCTGTTACAAAGACATCAGGGGACCTCCCTGGTGGCTCCGTGGTAAAGAATCCACCTGCCAAGGCAGGAGACGACCCCTGATCTGGAAAGATCCCACATGCCGCGGAGCAACTAAGCCTGTGCACCGTAACGACTGAGCCTGTGCTCTGGAGCCCAGGAACCAGAACTACTGAGCCCACGAGCCTAATTACTGAAGCCTGCATGTGCTAGAGCCTGTGCTCCACAAGAACAGAAGCCTCCAGGATGAAAAGCCTATGTGTGCACCACAACTACAGCCTACAGCGTAGCCCATGCTGGCCACGACTAAAGAAAAGCCCACACAGCAATAAAGACCCAGCACGGCCAAAAATAAACTTTTTTTTTTTTTAAAGAAGGTATCAGGAACTTTGTCAAATGAAGAGAAGAGAAAACGCATAACAAGTTGAGGTCAGAGGCACTGGCACCAACAGGGCTCTGAGCAGATGTGCTGAAAAGTGAGTGACTAAGGATACAGTTACACCACCCCCCACCCCTGCTCTCTGAGGGTCAGTCCCCCTGGGCAATGAGCATCCGACACCTGTGAAGGACCTCTCTCTCCTCTGGTCCATATTCTTTCTTCTCCTCCATGAGGACAGTGTTACACAGGCTCATCTGAGGAGTGACAGTAAAGGGCTGGGAAGCAGGCAGGTTGGCCCAGCACACCATCTTGCCACTGTGACCACTTGGATGCAGACAGGCAGACACAGATGTCAGGGAGACAAAGGCCTCCTGCTCTTCAAGGAAGGCTCTGGAACAGAGCCTCAGACAGGGAGTAACGGGAGAGCGAAGATGGCACACTGGGGTCTGACCAGAGAAGAAGGAGCAGAGACAATTACCCAGACTTGACCAGACACTCGTGCGTCTTGAGAACATCCTTGAGGAATATGGTACGAAGTGGTTCTCGGTCCTAGGGGAGGAAACGGGGAGACAGAGTGAATGAGGCTGTCTGCCCAAGGCCACTACTGGGACCAGCCAGCCATTACCATCAGACATGACGGGCTGAAACCAGGTCGCAAACAAGACAAGGTCTCGAAAAAAATCGAGACGAGAAAAACAAAAAAATCTAAGAAAATGCTCTGCGGTTCTCAGCACACACAGCGGGGGAGTTCGTTAAGGTCACTTTAATATCATGGTGAAGCTGCCCACACCAGTTGGACAGAGCTAAGATGCCAGCACACAGATGAGTCTGTGCCCACATCTCTGCTCACACTCATGCGCGCGTACAAACACACACACACACACACACACGTCTCTTGAGGGCCCCAGAGCCACGACAAACCTGCTCACACTTGAAGTAGCAGATGGTAAAGTCATCCAGCGCAAAGAAGCGCCGCTTCCAGCTCTTGCGCTGTAAGAGAGGGTAGAGAGCAGAATGTTAGAAGAGGTCCCCAGGGGTGCATTATGGTCCTAAGCTCCTGGGGACCCCGCCCCGCAAAGGCCAGGGTCCCAGCTTGGACGACCTGGGTGAGGAGCCAAGGACTTCCTCCTCTGCGGAAACACCTGGGAGCACCTCGGCCTGCAGGGCGCAAGCTTCCTTTGAGCCCCTCCCAGAATCAGCCGGTGTGAGCGTGGCTAGCTCCACCCTCCTCCCAGCAATCCGCCCTCCCCTCGGGATCGCCCACACCCGCTGGCTCCGGGGGTCCCCAGAAACCCCTTCAGCCCCCCTCGCGGACACTCACCACGTTCCCTTGCTTCACACAGTAGCCGCTCTTGATGAGGGGCGGCCCGGTGGGACCCCGGCAGCCGGTCGTGGGGATGTAACTCTGAGATCTCCGAAGGATGGCGTGGGAGCCCGGCTCACCCACTTCCTGCCCATCCCCGCCGTTCTACATGGAAACGGGGGCGGCAGGGTTAGCGCCTCCCTGCTCCTGACAGGGCCCCACCCGCCTTCCCCACCCTCCCTGGCCCATCACCTCTTCCTCTGGGCCCACGAGGGCAGTCAAATGAGAAATAAACCAGAAAGTAAACTTTTGCCCTGGGCAGGCACTCTACAGGGTGCTTTCACAGAGCAAGGCTGGGGAGGGCCAGGAGACCCAGGAGAAAGGGAAGGGCTGCGAAAGCAAGCCAGATGAGGCAGAGGCACAGTGAGCTTGTTTCCAGCCTCCCTCAGCCCCACTTCCCCGCTTGCTTCACAAGCGCCAGTCCCTGTGGGTGATGCAGAGCCGTCCTGGCCGCAAAGCTTCCGATGCAGCGGCCTCAGTCTCTGCACTGTCTGTATTCTCCATCACCCCACGTGCACGGGCTCTCCCACCCCAGCCCTTTCCTCGGTCCTGCCCTCCTGTGATGTCACCGACACACCATGGACACCCCCGCACCCCATGCCCCAGCCTGGCAGCCCCAGGCCCCAGCACCTGGTTGATCGGCGTGTGTACCACCACCCCTCCGATGATCTCTGTCTTGTAGGCCACCTGTGGCTTCTTCTCTAAGGCCAGAGGAGTTGCTAGGCTCTTGAGAACTTCGGTCGTCAGGGGCAGGTTCCCAGCTTTGGGTACCTGGGAAGGACAGCGTGGTTGACCGGGAACAGAAAGCCCCGAAAAAGCAGGGAGGTGACCAAGGAGCGACAGAGAGGAAGAAGAAAGTTAATGTGCCGAGTTATAGTAAGATACCCCTCCCCCCCATGTCCTTCCATCCATCCAAACCTGGATATGAGGAATTCAGCAAACCATGCCCACCACACGCACACACACACAGAGGCACACACTCAGCAAATGCGCTGAGCACCTACTCTGAGTGAGCCAGCCCCTGCCTGGCTAGAGACCAAAGATACACCAGCAAACACACACACATGTCCTGCCCTCCCTCCACGTCCATGCTGATCAGGGAGACTGATCACAAACATACAGCAAGACTGACAATCAGAAAATTACAAATCGTGGTGAGTGCCTTGAAGACAATAAAACAGGAGCTGAGAATGACATCAGGCTATCTACTCAAGTGGACTGGTTGGCATTATGGGCATGGTTGGTGTAAGTCTCCAGGGGAAAGAGATGCTGAAACAGTGACCTGGAGGATGAAAAGGAGCCAGGAACATAAAGATGGGAGAAAGGATGCTCGACAGTAGGTAAGACGCCTGTGGCATATGGTACAGGACTTGGGGAGCATGTCCCAGGGCTTGGGGTGTAGCCCCTGACCTGTCACTAAATGAGTGACACAGTCATGGAGTTGCCATGGTCATCAAACTGGTAAGAGGATATAAATTCAAACACTTAAAATACGAATAAAAATACAAAAGTATTTTAATTAAGATATTCTAAGTAAACTTTTAAAAGTTAATTAATTTATATTTTTTTGGCCGTGCTGAGTCTTCACTGTTGCACAGGCTTTCTCTAGTTGCAGTGAGCCAGGCCTATGCTTCCTTATGGTGCTTGGGTTTCTTACTGCGGTGGCTTCTCTTGTTGAAAAGCTTGGGATCTAGGTGAGTGAGCTTCAGTATTTGCAACATGCGGGTTCAATAGCTGTAGCGCTTGGGCTCAGTAGTTGTGACGCACTGGCTTAGCTGCCCTGTGGCACGTGGGATCTTCCAGGACCAGGGATCAATCCTGTATCTCCGGCATTGGCAGGAGGACTCTTAACCACTGGACCACAGGGGAGTCCCTCTAAATAACTTTTGATTAATGTAATTTACTAGCACTTACAAAATATCACCCTTCTGCAAAATGATTTCTTTGATCCTCTCCAGCTGATCAAAGAATCACAGAATTTTTAGGGCATGTTTGAGACCACAGGTTGCAAACTGGTGGTCCAAAGGCAGACTTGCCCCAGTTAACTATGTCTCGTCTGTCCTATCCACTATGTTTTTCAACCGGCAATTAAAATCTGAAATATTTCACACAAAACAAACTTGTTTTCCAGCAAAGCAGCAGTTCAATCTTTGGATGGGGAACAGATTCTTCACCCAGTCCTGACCAGCCTCCCAACCCGAGGTCATTTATCCTCATTCATGTTGCTGCTTTTCTTCCTCCTTGTCCATTTCTCATTTATACTGGAAAATCTTTCATCACCAGAGAGGTCCAGAGCAGTCCAATCATTTGCCCAAAGCCATGATTAATATTAACACCTAAGCAGAGACCAAGTCCCCGAACTCTGCTGGTTCAGTCCCTACCACATCACAAAGCCTGTCCTTCACCAGGACCCAAGACCCCATGTGAGTCTGCCAGGAAAGTAACTGCAGACCCCAAAAGAAAACCTAACATCCTATTTCACTTCTTCTACAGCCTTGGAAGCTAGAAAGACCTAAGAATCCAGATCTTTCAAGAGCTCACAGCTCAAGGATATATTGTCCAACATGGGAAATATAGCCAATATTTTGTAATCATTTAAATGGAAAGTAACCTTTAAAAACTGTAAAAGAAAAAAAAAGTTTAAAAAAGAAAAACAAAACACTATTGCAAGACTTCCCTAGTGCTCCAGTGGCTAAGATTCCACACTCCCAATGCAGGGGGCCTGGGTTCAATCCCTGGTCAGAAAACTAGATCCCACATGCTGCAACTAAGATCTCAGTCAGTTCAGTCATGTACGATTCTTTGCGATCCCATGGACAGCAGGCCAGGCCTCCCTGTCCATCACCAACTCCCAGAGTTTACGAAAATTCATGTCCATTGAGTCGGTGATGCCATCCAACCATCTCATCCTCTGCCGTCCCCTTCTCCTCCTGCCTTCAATCTTTCCCAGCACCAGGGTCTTTTCCAATGAGTCAGTTCTTCATATCAGGTAGCCAAAGTATTGGAGTTTCAGCTTCAGCATCAGTCCTTCCAATGAATATTCAGGACTGATTTCCTTTAGGATGGACTAGTTGGATCTCTTTGCTATCCAAGGGACTCTCAAGAGTCTTCTCCAACACCACAGTTCAAAAGCATCAATTCTTCAGCGCTCCGCTCTCTTTATAGTCCGACTCTCACATCTATACATGACCTGGAGCAGCCTAATTAATTTTAAAAAGCTACTGTAAGCCAGGAAGTGGGGTGGGGGGAGTTCACAGCTCAGGGCCATAGGAGAATTAACTCTGCCTGCCAAGGATGGGAATGAAGGACCACACCCCTATGCATCTAATTCAAAGGAGTAAGACCATCGTGATCAACACTGGAGCCCCAGAAAGAAGACAGGACCATTCTTCCTGGCCTGTGCACTCAGCTTAGATAGTCAAGGGCGACCTCTGCCCACCACCTCTGCAGATGAGGTCAGAAATCCCCCCTCTCCTTTCCTTCTGAGAGACAACAGTTGTTTTGGGTCTCTGCTCAGTGCCAGGCAAAGGAAGTACTCCTCTCTGCCTCTTTACTACTCATCTCAAGCCACTTTACTAGGAAGGCATCCGTTTCTCTATTTCACAGATGAGGTAAACAAAAGCTCGTTAAAATGAAGTCATGACCATGGCTAAACACCACTACCTACCACCTTCTAGGACCACCCTTGCCAGTTCCTCTGCGTTTTGCTCTGGTGAGTGGAATCCTTCTGGGATGTGGGTCAGTGCTGGGGTGTCCAGTGATATGTCCATTGTTGACCAGCACACCTGCCCCCTAGTGATCCAAATGAATTCCTGAAACCCAGCAAAGGAGGAGGGGAGTAGCCTTTCCGAGTTCACGACGGCCGGAAAAGGACCCCTGGCAGCTTGGGTGTCGTGTTGCCTCTCGACCCATCAGCCCACCCAGAGAATGGCTGGTCATCACTGTTCACGCCCCTGCATTATCGGCTCCCTCTGACCAACTGCCTGGCTCTCCAAAGCCGCTTACACTTCCTGAGACGGTGAATCAGCCTGCAGAGAACAAACTCACCAACAACCATGCGCCAGGTCTTAAAACAAGGGCATCCTCTAGGCTTGTCCATCTCCCAAGATCCCAGTGAAACAGGGCCCCTTTCCACCACCCTGTCCTCTCCCTGGTGAAGGGTCCCCTGATGCAGGAGATCCACAGGGTTCCATCTGCATCATGAAATTTGCAAGGACTCTCTTCCCACAAACAGGGCAAGACTATGAGGAATAGTCCAACTGTGGTAGGGGAAGGGGTGCTATAGTTTCACTGTCCAATTTTTAATCCTTTCGAAAAAATGTAGTGAGTTGAATGATGTCTCCCCAAGATGTCCATGCGTAACCTCAGACATGACTTTTTTTGGAAATAGGGTCCTTGCTGCTGCTGCTGCTACTAAGTCGCTTCAGTTGTGTCCGACTCTGTGTGACCCCATAGACGGCAGCCCACCAGGCTCCCCCATCCCTGGGATTCTCCAGGCAAGAGCACTGGAGTGGGTTGCCATTTCCTTCTCCACTGCATGAAAGTGAAGTCGCTCAGTCATGTCCAACTCTTAGCGACCCCATGAACTGCAGCCTACCAGGCTCCTCTGTCCATGGGATTTTCCAGGCAAGAGTACTGGAGTGGGTTGCCATTGCCTTCTCCTAGGGTCCTTGCAGAGGTAATTAAATGAAGATGAAGCCATGCTGGTTTAGACTGCAAGGAAATCCAACCAGTCCATCCTAAAGGAAATCAGTCCTGAGTGTTCATTGGAAGGACGGGTGTTGAGGCTGAAACTCTAATACTTCGGCCACCTGATGTGAAGAACTGGCTCATTTGAAAAGCCCCTGATGCTGGGAAAGATTGAAGGCAGGAAGAGAAGGGGACGACAGAGGATGAGATGGTTGGATGGCATCACCGACTCAATGGACATGAGTTGAGTAGACTCTGGGAGTTGCTGATGGACAGGGAGGCCTGGCGTGCTGCGGTTCATGGGGTCGCAAAGAGTCAAGCATGACTAAGCAACTGAACTGAACTGATGCTGGTTGAGGGTGGGCCCTAAGTGCAGTGACTCATGTCTTCCTAAGAGGAGGGGTCACAAAGACACATAGGCCATACTATGACAGAGGCAGAAGTGGAGGGAGGCAGCGACAAGCCAGGGAAGACTCTGAGGGCTAGAATGGGCAAGGAAGTATTCTCCCCTTGAGCCTTCAATGGGTACATGGAGGGCCTTGCCGACACCCTGATGTCAGACTTCTCAGGACTGTGGGAGAATACATTTCTGTTACTCTAAGCCATCCACCATTTGCAACAGCCCTTAGGAAACTAACACAGGAATACTACTCCGAGCAAACCCACTTCTTTATTTTTTAAAAAATGTTTATTGGGGTACATAGTTGCTTTACAGTGTTGTGTTAGTTTCTGCTGTAGGGCACAGTGAGTCAGCTGTCTGTACACAGATATCTGCTCTCTATTGGATTCCCTTCCCACTGAGGTCACCGCAGGGCACTGAACAGAACTCCTTGTGCTACACAGGAGGCTCTCATCAGTTACCTGTTTTATACATGGTGCTGTACATATGTCAACCCCAATCTCCCAACTCACCCCACCCCCTTCCCCCTCGGCGTCTGCACTTTTGGCTGAATACCATATGTTGGCCATTATCTTCAATCACAAGGACTCAGTGACCTAGCACTCAATGACCAGTGATCTGTGGTTACTGGCTCCTGAACCTGGGCGGGTCACTCTGATCTCCAGGCACTTCCTCTGCCTCGTTTATAAACCAGATGATCACTCCTGCCCTCCCTACTTGAGGTTTTCATGAGGCTAGCAAGAAGCCATGAATGTAAAAGTGGTATGTCATCTAACTTTTACATCTGCTGCTTGCTTTTCATATTTTTATAAACCCTCCCAGGTCTCGGAAGTCAGAAGGTCCTAGGCTTGAATACCAGCTCTGTCATTTAGCAAACTCCAGACTTAGGACAAGACTCTTATTTCCGTTTCCCTCATCATAAAAATGGCAGTGAAAGCACCTGCCTCACAGGAGTGATGTGAAGGGTGAGCAATGTGGCCTGTGAGAAAGCCCAGCTGGATACATGGTCTGTATCTTTCATCTCTGCATCCCCTGCCCCCAAGATGCTTCACTTTGCACACAAGGTGAGCTGAGAGAAATTTGCCTGTAATGAGGAAGTTGGGTACCCCTCCTCTTCCTTCTGTCCCACAGGATCTTTGGCAGGAGGAGTGAAGAGAGGTATAAATGGAGCAAAGGAAAGTCAGGGGGATCCTAGAGGTTATGGAGCCCCTGCGGAGGCTGGGACATCTCAGCAGGCCAGAAAAGAGGACGTGGAACTAGCCGCTGGGAGCAACTCTACGCTCAAGGCATAAAAGCAGGACAAAGAGGCCCCTGCTGCCTCACAAGTCTCTGTAGCCCAGTTCACCAGGCAGGTCTAAGAGAGGACACCCTGGGGTCTCCCTGGTGGTCCAGTGCTTAAGACTTCACCTTCCAGTGCAGGGTGTTCGACTGGATCTTAGCTTGGGAAGCTAAGATCCGACATGCATTACAGCCAAACAACCAAAACATAAAACAGGAGCAATACTGTAACAAATTCAAAAAAGACTTTTAAAAATCGTCCACATCAAAAAAAAAAAAAAACAAACTTTTTTTTAAAAAAAGAGATAACGCTCAATGAGAAGAAAGTATTATACACTAAAGAAACTCCCCACAGTGTGGAGGACGCAGAAGGGTGAAGACTCCAACAGGAACAAAGAAAACCTTTATAAAGTCAGCATTCTGCAGTCACACACCCAAGTGTGTGTCTTAGCAGCTACCCTCCTTCCCAGACCCCTACCATTTCGCTCTCTTTTCACTGCCTTACCAAGGTTTATCAGAATAACCAGCCAACAAGCAAAACCACATCGATGACTGAATTGTACTCTGCTCAGAGGCAGCATCACAAGTGCTGGATAAGTGTACAGGTTTCTTCTTCTGTGAAATTATTCACAGGAACCCTGAGGTATTAGGGAGAATAATCTGCCCCAGCACATACTGGTTTTTACTGGAAGTCACTAGAATGCTAGCACTTCTGAAGATATGATACAGAAAATCAAGCTTTTCAGCAAAGTGTGGCTTACATGCCAGAAGTCGGCCTATATTATTGGTTAAAGGTCTAGTTTTTTCCCTTAAACAGTTTTCCCCTCTCCTTATTCCTACCCATCTCCCTTTCTTTTTCTGTATTTCTAAGGAGGAAGAAAGGAGTTCTTCATTAGCGAAGTCAAGGAAAGCAGGAGTCCTCATGGAACAACCAGCAAGCTGGTGCTTATAAATGTTAGGCTTTCCCAGGACAGGTCAGTGGACAGCCTGGACTGGTCTCCAGGTGGCCTCTTAAAGTCAGAAGAGTCTGCCCCCAAGCCAGGAAAAAGTTCTGACTTCCCCCCTCATGTGAGTTTCCTCTGCTCCGTTTCTCAGAGTCAGCACTCCATTTTCCAATCCCACCACATTCTGAATCAGCATCCCAGAATGACCCAAACCACGACCGCCTGGGAGCCCTCCCAGGAAGCACAGCGGGGACACTCCATAAACTTCCCCTCGAACCGGATTCAGACTCAGACTCAGTTCAACTTGCGGCTAGTCGGCCAAGGTGTGAGAAGAGGTGGGGCAACCGGTCTGGAACGGGTCCTGGGAAAGTCCCCGTCGCCACTGGGCCACTCCCCACCCGAAATGGGCCGACTGCAGAAAGACTCTCACCACTAGAAAAATAAATGACCCAATCAAAAAATGGGCCAAAGAACTGAACAGACATTTCTCCAAGGAAGACATACAGATGGCTAACAAACACATGAAAAGATGCTCAACATCACTCATTATCAGAGAAATGCAAATCAAAACCACAATGAGGTACCATTACACACCAGTCAGGATGGCTGCTATCCAAAAGTCTACAAGCAATAAATGCTGGAGAGGGTGTGGAGAAAAGGGAACCCTCTTACACTGTTGGTGGGAATGCAAATTAGTACAGCCACTATGGAAAACAGTGTGGAGATTTCTTAAAAAGCTGGAAATAGAACTGCCATATGACCCAGCAATCCCACTTCTGGGCATACACACCGAGGAAACCAGATCTGAAAGAGACACGTGTACCCCAATGTTCATCACAGCACTGTTTATAATAGCCAGGACATGGAAGCAACCTAGATGCCCATTAGCAGACGAATGGATGAGGAAGCTGTGGTACATATACACCATGGAATATTACTCAGCCATTAAAAAGAATTCATTTGAATCAGTTCTAATGAGATGGATGAAACTGGAGCCCATTATACAGAGCGAAGTAAGCCAGAAAGATAAAGACCATTACAGTATACTAACACATATATATGGTATTTAGAAAGATGGTAACGATAACCCTATGTGCAAAACAGAAAAAGAGACTCCTATGTATAGAACAGACTTGTGGACTCTGGGAGAAGGCGAGGGTGGGATGTTTCAAGAGAACAGCATTGAAACACGTATATTATCTAGGGTAAAACAGTTCACCAGCCCAGGTTGGGTGCATGAGACAAGTGCTCGGGCCTGGTGCACTGGGAAGACCCAGAGGGATTGGGTGGAGAAGGAGGTGGGAGGGGGGACCGGGATGGGGAATACATGTAAAAAAAAAAAAAAAAAGATACACTATGGTTGTGATAAAAAAAATAAATAAATAAATAAATAAATAAATTTAAAAAAAAAATAAATAAAATTAAAAAAAATAAAAAAAAATAAAAAGAAAGACTCTCACCAGAAAGGAGAAGGATCATACGTACGGTGATTTTGCTGGCTTGGTTCAAGGCCTCCACCCAGTCCTTCAGATCTTTCTGGTCATTGGCTTGAAGAAAATACCTCTGTGAGAGGGCGTTGATGACTGCAAAAGGTACAGGACGAAGACAGAAGAATCCAGGTCAGAACACACACGCCAAAACTAAGGTGTTTGATGTCACAGGGTAGAGGATTTCCCGCCAAGGAGACCAAGATGTTCCCCATGGTACAAAGTCACCTGAGAATATCTGGGAAGCAGAGCGCTCTCAATCTTTAAAAAAAACGTGGATTATTATTCCATTGGCCACAAGACAACACTAGTGGCCTTCATGTGCTGCTGTGCAGAAAGGCGGCTCATTCACCATACACCAGACACACACCTGGACAGCTTTTCAGAGGCGCCAAACGCTGGACGGTCATGATGATACACATGCAAGTTTGGCCCCATGCTCCTGGTTTCCGCTAGCACAACTGACCCGGGTTAGGGGTCTTGTCTGTGGTTGAGACATGGAACTCAGGTTGCCTGGGTTCAAGTCTGTGACCTTGTGAGACCCCATTTTCAACCTGGTCCTTCCTCAGCACCCCATGAGGTCAACAATTTACTTCTGGGTTCTTTTTTTTTTTTTTTCCTTTTTTAGATCTGCTGACCACAAAATCTGAGAGTCAGATTTTTGAGCTTGGCAATGATATTTGAAGGAAGTGGGAGAAAGAGTGCAAAAGAAGTTTGAACCAACCTGAAGTGGGAAAAGAGGACAGCTTAAAGGACCATTTTACTCTCCTGGCAAAAATAAGCTAGAACTGGAGGAGGTGAGCATCATGGGGTAGACAAAGAACCCCTTAGTTCATTCACTCATTCCTTCAGCAAATATTTACTGAGCAACCACTTTGTGCCAGGAAGCACATGCTACGTGCTGGGGATACAGCAATGACAAAGCCGGGGAGCATCTGTGCATTCGTGGAGCTTACACCCCAGACATAAAACAGAAGCTATTTGTTAGCATCTGCTCATAGCACTTAGTACAGCACCGAGAAGGCAGTAGAAGCCAGTTAAATACTGATGCTTCAGTGACCTGCATCCACTGAGCGGCTCTGCTTCCTGGGTCACCCCCAGCCATCATTCATTGGCAGTAAGACTTTCAGTAGAATATTCCCTAGTTCCCTCAAGTCTCCATACCATTCCTCTCCTCTGAGTTAAAAGTTTCCTTAAGACTTCCGGTAGATACCTGCCCTGCGGAGCCAGGAGAACTGAGACATCACGGGCGCCTGTGCCTCTGTCTTAGGTTATTAACAATCTTCGCAGGGAGACCAGGGAAAGGAAATCATGTGAGACCCAGGGATATGGCTGGGACAGCGGTCACTCACACACACAGCGTACAAGCCACATGTGATCAATCACAGGACCGTCTCCACGCAAAAGAGGAAGCTGCTATAGTATTCAGAAAACCCACCCTCTGCTTAGGACTTACCGAAGCAAAACGGAGTTTTGGGTTTCTGCTTTGGGGTGGCAATGCTCACCTACATCAGATAAAAAAAGAAAAGAAACATGAGTGTGTTTCCAACAGTGTTGTAAAGTTGTGTTGTTTTTTCCGTCAAAACTTTTTACATTAGGAGACTTGATACAAAAGGAAGAGTATACAAAACACATGAGGACATAAAAACTAATGAATGAGTGGAAACCTTGCACTCATCATCCAGATTAAGAAATCACCCACTATCAATCTTATTTCTTAGAAGCCCTCTGCGCCCCTCCCTGGTAGATAGAATCCCAGCCCCACCCCTCAGAGATAACCGCTATCTTGATGTCTGTGTTGAATCTGCAAAAATGCTCACAAGCCACTGAGTCCTGAGAAAATTCTCTTTGGACCACAAATATATGTACCTTTCACATTAGCAAGACCCTACTCCTCTCCCAACCACCAACCTCCTCCCCTAAACCGTTCTGTGAATTAGAGGTGGAATTGTCACAAATACACAGATTTCAAACAGAGCCCACAGAAATGTGAGTCACTCACTGCACTGAGACACACAGATCAATTTCCCTTACCTCTACCCTGACTGCTTCACCATGAAAATAAGCACTTCCCACCTGCCCAGAGAGCAGCTGACAGGATCAGGGCACATCCCATATTGAAGGCAAGGGCATAAGAAAGCAGGACTTTTTCTACCTCCTGCTGTGTCATCCCTTTTCAAGCCTGCCCCCAAATGTACGTTCTGCTTCTGTGCCTGCTGTGAGCCCGTCTTTGTTTGAATTCAAATACACTGAGCAAGGAAAGGAAAGCATATTCCATCATATGGAATTAGATGACTGCCCTTGATGAAGGCTGAACCTCCCTGGAGCAGGCCTCCACCACTGGATCTGGGATTTCTAAGGGGGCAGCCCCTTCCCCCAGGACCAAGGTTGGGAAACACTATTCACACATGGCTATCATCCACTCATGCACACCATTCCCGCATTTCTGGTCAGGGGCATTGTCCAACTTGCTCTCGCCCAGGGGCTCCTGGAGTGGTTCTAGCTTTAACAGGAGGCTCATTAGAAGCCAAGAGCTAAAGAAAACATTGGGGTCAAAATTAAGGCTTCAGGACTTCCCTGGTGATCCAGTAGCTAAGACCCTGCGCTCCTAATGTAGGGGACCCACATTCCATCCCTGGTCGGGGAACTAGATCCCAAATGCCACAGCTAAGAGTTCCTATGTGTGCCCAGTCGTGTCCGACTCTTTCCGACCCCTTGGATTGTAGCCCGCCAGGCTCCTCTGTCCATGATATTTCCCAGACAAGAATACTGGAGTGGGTTGCCATTTCCTCTTCCAGGGGATCTTCCCAACCCAGGGATTGATCCCATCTCTCCTGCGTCCCCTGCATTGGCAGGTGGATTCTTGACCACTGAGCCACCTGGAAAAAATCCTGCCCTGCCTCAGCGAAAGGACCCGAGTGCAGGCAAATAAAATAAAATAAAAACAAGATGGAAAGATCCACCATTAAAAAAAAATGAAGGTCTTGTCACGGCTCACAGTGGCTCAGGATCTGATCATGATGGACACACCAAGCCAACACACCAGGGTGACTGGATTCTCCATCTTGGCTCTAAGTTCTTTCTACCGACCTGGCCCAGATTTCTCAACAACCCAAATTAATACTCCCCAGAACACTCCAGATGGGAACCGAGGCGGCAGCCTGTAAAAGATCAAAGGAAGGACAGGCGGTACAGCCTGGGCTTTGGTGCCAGAGTGCCAGCGCCCCCGTCCCAGGCGTCCCAGCTGTCTCACCATTTCCTAGTCCATCAAACAGTAATAATAAATCACGCTCTCACAGGGCCATGGTGAGGATTAAATGTGACAGTGCAGGTGAAGCACTTAACCTGCCTTATCATGCAGAAGCTGCTCAACCAAGGAGGGGCTGTTTACACCCACTCCACGTACCAATACAAGCCATGCTATGCTGGGCATGAGGGGCTTCCCTAGTAGCTCAGATGGTAAAGAATCCATCTGCAATGCAGGAGACCCGGATATGATCCCTGGGTTGGGAAGATCCCCTGGAGAAGGAAATGGCAACCCACTCTAGTACTCTTGCCTGGAGAATTCCATGGACGGAGGAGCCTGGTGGGCTACAGTCCATGGGATCACAGAGAGTCAGACACAACTGTGTGACTAACTTTCACTTTTCATGCTTGGCATGACAGATAAAATGCTAAGGGCCTTGTGAACTTCTCCGGGGCCCAAAACATGTATGAGACTTGGTCTCAACACACAAAATGAATATGGCACACTCAACAGTAATAACTATTCAACTGAATGTCTATATGATGTTACAACAACCTCATCAACAAGTATTTAACTAAATGCCTACAAGATGTTGCATTAAGCCAACTTCATTCACAAAAACTTCAATCCAATTAAACATTCACAAAAACTGCACAACAAAAAAATAATTAGCAGCTTTGATTTTCTTGGTTCACGAGAATCCCTGGATGTTCAAGACGATAGCTGAGAAATTAGAGCCAATCAAAAATTGAGTTACTCACAGTCAAATCATTTCAAAAAGGAAAATGATGAAAATCCTTTCAAATCTTTCACAGCCAGACAATTACAGTCAATGAGGGAAGTGGAGCCATTCTGATATGTTTCCCATGATGTGAGGTGTACACTAGAGGGCCTAAGAAAGTCTTTAAATAATCCCCTAGATGATGAAGATTTAAACAAAGATGAGCCCGCATATCTGCCTTCAAAGTGGACGAAAAGCCCATGGCCTCTTTAGCATCTGTGTGCTGGAGCCCTGCGAACAAGCCCAGGCCCCTATGCCATCTTGTACTCCTGGGATTCAGACCCGAGAATTCAACCTGAGTCACACTGGGTGCCTTCCTCTTGTGTGCATCTGATGTTCTGATCTGTTGGTGACTCATGGGCTTCCTCCCTCTGCACCCATGTTCCTGCAGGTCCTCAAGCTCACAGCTCCTGTGTGCCCTACCCTCGGTTCCTGTATGACCCTGACCATCGCAGAACTACCTCGGCCATCCAGGCCTTCCGGACACTTCCACCCTGGCTGGGTGACACACGGTCCACTCTGACCACAACTCATTACCAGCCTATCCGAGGGAAAACATGCTTATGACCAGAAGTCAAAGCTTTCAAAGATACCACCTGGCTTTCCATTTGCTTTTACATGTTTATCCAATATTCAGGTGGGAGTACGTACGCCTGCACACCTGTAATCTGCCATGTGGTCATCACAGAAGGATTACCTGGCCAAGCAGCTCTTGCTGAATTAACAGGACGCCAGTTCTAGGTCAACCCTAATGGGTTGTTTAGCAAAGGTAAGTCCCTCAACATCTCTGATCAGCCCCCAGATTGGCAATGCCAGAGGGGAAACAACTACACCCCTTCTTACAGTCCTGGAATGATGAAGAAAATAAAGGGACTTCCCTGGTGGTCCAGTGGTTAAGACTCCAGGCTTCCAATACTGGAGGTATGGGTTTGATCCCTGGTTGGGGAACTAAGATCCCACATGCCTTGGTGTGGCCAAAAAAAAAAAAAAAAAGCAAGTCCCATCTATTGGCTATGCCCTCAAAAAGATAGGCCAAGGTGGGAGCGAAGGGGGGCGTCTCACTCACTCTGGAGGAGTGTAGCTCTGGCCTCCCCCCAGATCCCAGTGATGGAGGGCAGGACCCCCACCTTCTGGGAGGGATAGCACCACTGCCCCCACCGCACTACCTGCTGGTGACCAGGCCAGCCCACGCAGCTCTTTCACACGTGGTGAAGGCGCAGAGAGGCTCTTGAAGAAGCGGCGTGGTGGATGGGCTGACTCTGGCCACAAGTAAGTCGCTACACAGCAGTGGTTGACCGGTGGGTCCTGGGTGAGGAGGCGGGGGGGGGGGGGCGGGTGAGGCAGGGACCGGGTACAGGTCACCCGCAAAGTGATGCAGGCGAGGCCCCCGCACTACCCCCCGGCCCAACAGACTCTCAGGAACTCGCTCTTATCAGATCGCACAGAGACCACAGGAGCAGCAGAGCCGTGGGGCACCGGGGCACTGCGAGCCCGCCCCACCCTGGCTCCCCTGGGCCGGAAGTGGAGCTGGGGCCCCTCCAGCAGCAGCAGCAGCCCAAGGCCTTGGAGCCTCGGTGCCGCCCAGGGAGACCCTGCCTCACGAGGCAGCACCAGGAGCCGCCAAGAGGCAGTCACCCACCCAGAGTCATGGCAGGCTCGAAGCCGGAGCCTCTGAACCAGCTTCCAGGGGTCAATGAGCCCTGGAGGCACAGGCGAAATCAGGGTGTGTGCACGCACACGTGATTTACCTGGGACAGGAATCCACATTTCTCATCAGAGTTTCTTAAGTATCCATGACCGCCCCTGCCCGCCCCCCACCCCCCGCCCCCGCCCATGCCCGCCAAAAGCCAGGAGTGAGCCCCGTTCCAAGGTCTTTGTTGCAGTTAACAGCGAGCCAGGCCACAAACTGGAAGTGTAATCGAGCAGGACGCTATGGGCCTTCCGCAGACAAAGCCTTCCCCCATATCCTCTGCTTGAGCTCCTCTCTGAGGTACCCAGATAATAGTATCTGATGCAAATTTCCTGAGTTGTTTTGCAGATGTGAACCCCACCCCCCAACAACCAGCAGCAAACGGAGGAAGGACGAGATGACCTTGAGTATGTGGTCCCACGTCTCCTGGAGCCCGAGGGCAGCTAACGTGAACTCCCGTGACACTGCCCAGCTGTCTCACCATCAGCCCATCAGAGAAATGTGCACCCTGAGACCCTCAACCCCCTCATCTGCCCTTAAAAACGCTTTGCTGAAACTCTTCAGGGAGCTTGAGACTTCTGAGGGCTGTGAGCAACCTCATCTCCTTGCATGGCCTTGCAGTAAACCTTTCTCTGCTCCTGACTCCGACGTTTCAGTTTGGTTGGCCTCACAGGTCAGGCCAGGACTCCCATTAACAGAGGCGGGGCTGGCTGCGGGGAAGAGAAGAACCCACAAACAAAGCGGGGAGGTGGGTGGAGTCAAAGGTCAGCATCCATCTTTTTCTAGTTGGCCTGAGAACTGGCCCTGCTGCTGTGACAACATCAATTTCAGAACCTTCCTCGGTGTTAGCCTCTCAGAAGATGGATGTTCCCAACACCAGCCCACAAGGATGAGCACCCTTAGCGCACCCCGGCCAGGCTACCGCTGCTGGTGAACACATTCCTTGGGGAGGGGACGCCTAGGGGTTAACAAGAAATAACCTGGAATGCTGAATTTGATACCAGCACAGGCTAAGTGTTTTTTTTCTGGGAAAACCCCTGCTTTCTGGCACTGGGTCAGGCAGCAAGCAGTTCAAGGCTCTCCTCTCCGTGAAACCTGACCCACTGGCAGCTGTGGGTTTTGCAAAACCCATCCCCGCCTGCCTCTCCCCTCCACGGAGGGTAAAAAGGCAGGTCCCTCCTGCTAAAGGAAGCAGCCCTCCCAAGCCGAGAATTCGAGAAACCCTTGTCCGAGCTGCATTTATATATCACGATTCTGCAGGAGACTTTAGTCCCTCTTCTCCCATCAGGAAGGAGGAAAAAAAAACCCTCTCAAACGGGAGATGGTTTGGAGCTTCGTTAATCTTAAGGTTCTCTGCTCCTCGCTCTCTGAATTCTCTCTTTTCCAACCTCCTAATGAAATGACCTAATGAGCTCACAGCAAGACAGGGCTCCGGCCTCTGGCCGCCGGGAGGCAGCCACATTCTGACCACAAAGCATGCAAACTGCCTGCTTTCCTAGGCCCTTCCCCTCTCCCGGTCCTTCCCTCCTCGCTCTAAGGCGCCCAAACACTGCCCTGCACCCAGTCACCTCTGTTGGACTCCCGCCTGCAACCCCTGCAGCTGCCTTCCCCTCTGGCCCAGCTGAAATGGGAGGGCTGCCCAAGGACCCCCAAAGCTTGTTATGAGAGGAGCCAGGAGCCACTCAGATCAGAGCCCCATCCCCCGAGGAGGGGAGAATGTGGACAAGGAAGCTGAGGCCCCCAAGAGGCCTGAGTGAGGGCCTTCCAGAACCTCGGTGCTGGCTGGGGGCCACCTGGCTCTCCTCGCTGGACGAACAGCTCCTCTTTCTAGCAAGGCTCTAAATCCCCCGGCCTTCTTTTTTTTTTATCACTGCTGCATCACAGGTCAGCGCCAGTGCCTGCTCCAGGGAGGGGCAGCTACACAAAGCTGAATTCAGCAGCTCCGTGTGGGCACCATCCACGTGGAGCCCCCCAGTCCCCACCCAGGTCTCAGCCCAGAAGAGGGGCTGCTCTCGCCTCTTCTGTGCAGACTGGACCAGGGGATGGACTGTCGGCTGGCCTGCCAGACCCTCCAGCTCTCTGACTGCTGAGTGGTTTCCTGGCACAGCTGGGCACCTCCTTGGGGCCCTCCCAGGCTCCCCTCCACAGTGATCCGGTCCAGCCCATGGATAAACTTTCAGGGCCACCCCAACACTTTCTGAGCCATGCCAGTCGAACCATACACTTTGGGAGAACCCTTTACAGTCACTGGCTTTTTTTGCTGTTGTGTTTGTGTTCCTTTTGGTCCCAATTACAAAAAAAAAAAGATCATGTCCCAGTCTTTGCCTACCCACCTCCCATCCCTCCTTTGCAGGAGCTGGCAGCATCACTGACTAATGGGTCCCAGGAGTGAGAGGCTGCAAGACCGCCCTCCAAGAACCTGCTGACCACAGGCCACCCAGCCCCAGTCAGTTACAGGCTTCCATGGGCATACAGGGAGCACATCACAGCCCAGCAACACCCCCAGGAGCTGATGCCCGAGGTGTATGCTTCCTCTAGTTTAGATACTAAACCTACTTACAGACCATGAATTCCCAAAGCTCCAAGCCAACATTACCTTCGAGATGTAGGTCAGCTGCAAAGATCCGACAGCTCCTGCCCCAATTGCCAGGTTCTGAAAGACATAAGTTTTGTGTTTGAAGAAGGATGCTATGCGAGGCAGTAGATACAGGACTAAGGAAGGCTGAGAGTCTGGTTCTGTCGATGCCACTTTCTGGCTTTGCAATCTTGACTAGTCACTTACTTCTTTTTTTTTTTTAACTTTTGATTTTATTTTGGAGTACAGGTGATGAACAATGTTGTATTAGTTTCAGGTGTACAACAAAGTGATTCAATTATACATGTGTGCGTGCTGTCACTTCAGTCGTGTCCAACTCCTTGTAACCCCAAGGGCTGTAGCCTGCCAGACTCCTCGGTCCATGGGATTCTCTAGACAGGAACACTGGAGTGGGTTGCCATTTCCTACTCCAGGGAATCTTCTCGACCCAGAGATCAAACATCTTTTACCGTCTCCTGCATTGGGAGGTGGGTTCTTTACCACTAGGATCCCCTGGGAAGCCCTAAGCCCTTCAATTGTATGTACACATGTGTCTATTCTTTTTCAAATTCTTTCAAATTCTTTTCCCAGTGAAGCTGTTACAGAATATTGAGCAGAATTTCCTGTGCTATACAGTAGGTCCTTGTTGGTTATCCATTTTAAATACAGCAGTGTGTACATGTCCATCCCAAACTCCCTAACTATTCTTCTCCCACCATCTCTCCATAAGTTTGTTCTCTAGTCACTTACCTTTCTTCACCTCACCACAGTGGTAATTCTTGCCACGGTCTGTGGACTTAACGTTTCCCTTAGCCTCATTTATTTTAGAGAGGGATTCTAGTACAGTGGTTAAAAGTGGGGGCTCCACCACTTTGTGAATAAGTTCCTTCATCTCGAAGCCTCAGTTTTCCCTTCTATAAAAACAGGGGTCATAATAGTACCTACCTCACCAGACAGTTCTAAGGATGAGTTAATAGACTTACGACCACTTGCGGGAACTTTCCTGGTGGCTAAGACTCCATGCTCCCAATGCAAGGGTCGTTCCAGCCCTGGTCAGGGAACCGATCCCACATGCCACAACTAAAGAAGAAAAAGATCCTGCGTGCCACAACTAAAGATCTCTCATGCCACAACTAAGACCTGGCACAGCCAAATAAATAAAATAAATAAATATCAAAAAAAAATAAACCACTTGGAATTGTCCCTGTTTAGAGTTATATATGCTGGGAGGGGTTGGGGGCAGGAGGAGAAGGGGACGACAGAGGATGAGATGGCTGGATGGCATCACCGACTCGATGGACATGAGTTTGAGTAAACTCCGGGAGTTCATGATGGACAGGGAGGCCTGGCATGCTGCGATTCATGGGGTCGCAAAGAGTCAGACACGACTGAGCGACTGAACTGAATTGAGAGTTATATAGTCATCTATATGACTCTGAACAAGCGTTACCTAGTTTATATATATATATACATATGTATATGTAATAAACCATATATTGTCCTGACTGCTCTGATATCCCTCTTGGCTTTATCTTCTTTGATGACACTTCAAATTCTTTTCTTAATAAATATGGTACAGAGTCACACAATCTAGGGGGAAACAAAGGAAGGAAAAACATAGTTCTTCATTCTATTTCAAAGGGCAGTTACGAGTACTAAATGGAATGATATCTGTACAGTATAAAAAAAATAAATTCATTATTAAAACATCAAGAAACTCACAGGCACCTTGTCTGGCAATGTTCTACCCTGACACAGTCTCTTGGCTCTCTAACTTCTCCACTGTCAGAAATGAAGGGATGAAAACACAGGGGTGCTAGATGCCCATCAGTAGACGAGTAGATAAGAAAGCTATGGTACATATACACAACGGCATATTATTCAGCCATTAAAAAGAATACATTCGAATCAGTTCTAATGAGTTGGATAAAACTGGAGCCCATTATACAGAGTGAAGTAAGCCAGAAAGATAAACACCAATACAGTATACTAACGCATATATATGGAATTTAGAAAGATGGTAACGATAACCCTATATGCAAGACAGAAAAAGAGACACAGATGTATAGAACAGTCTTTTGGACTCTGTGGGAGATGGCGAGGGTGGGATGATCTGAGAGAACAGCATCGAAACATGTATATTATCAAGTGTGAAACAGATTGCCAGTCCAGGTTGGATGCATGAGACAAGTGCTCAGGGCTGGTGCACTGGGATGACCCAGAGGGATGGGATGGGGAGGGAGGTGGGAGGGGGGGTTCAGGATGAGGAACACATGTAAATCCATGGCTGATTCATGTCAATGTATGGCAAAAACCACTACAATATGGTAAAGTAATTAGCCTCCAACTAATAAAAATAATTGGGGGGAAAAAAAAAAACACGGGGGTGGTAGTGTACCAAAGAAATGGCCATCATTAGAAATCACAGCTGTGGAGTTTCTCATATATAACTTGGCAAATCCACTCCCTGCTGACCTCTTAAACTATTGCTGTAAGCCTCAAAACAATAACCTGGGAGCCCCTATTTTGAAGACCTAGGGTCAGCTCAAAGCAATAAACAGAGGCAAATCTAAGATAATGGGTGCAGGTCATTGTCCAGTCGCTCAGTCATGTCCGACTCTTTGCAACCCCATGGACAGCAGCACTCCAGGCTTCCCGGTCCTTCACTATCTAGTAAATTTCCTAAAGGGTCAACAGTGGGATGACTTGTCATTCCAGGAGATGCCCTTAAGAAACACCTTAGGTAGCAGGGAAGAGTCCTTCCAGGTCCAACAACCTAAATTCACAGGCATCACTTGAAGCAAGGCAGTGTATGAAGCTTCCTATACATAAGAAAATGGATGGAGATAAAACTGCGATAAAAGGATTCTCAGAGCCCTAGAAATTTAGCGAAAGAGATCCAGAAAGGACATCTCCTCTGTTTTGCAAATGAGGCCATAAATCTAAAAGCTGCCCTTGAGTATCTGAATCAGCACTTTGAATATGGACGACTGGATTTACACATTTTTTTTAACAACATAATGACTGCACTGTTTTGTTTTTTCAAAGAAAACTCTCTATTGGATAACAACAGATAGTCCTAGTACCCTTAAGTGTTAGTCGCTCAGTCGTGTCTGACTCTTTGCAACACCATGGACTGTAGCCTCTCCAGGTTCCTCTGTCCATGGGATTCTCCAGGCAAGAATACTAGAGTGGATAGCTGTGCCCTCCTCCAGGGGATCTTCCCCACCCAGGGACTGAACCCAGATCTCCCGCATTACAGGCAGATTCTTTACCGTCTGAGCCACCAGGGGAATCTATACCTCCTAAATCCAATTCCAAAAAGGAACCACAGCACTCCAAGAGGCCAGTGAGCAGCGGACAGTGCCTCTGAGGAGGCCGTGAACCACCCGAGGCAGACAGCTCTACAGAGAGAGGCTGCCCACAGCTGGCTGCATCGGCACAGTCCCGGGGACACACCGCCACCGGCCACCGTGGACAGTGGGCACCTGGCCCACCCCCAGCCCCCGTTGTGCACTTGAGGGGAGTCGTGTGTTGAGGGGATCTGCCCGAGGTCACACACCTGGCTCGGGTTCTCCTGACTTCCCCCCTGAAGCCCTAGAAGCAGCACACTGCCATGTCAAACTTAAGCAGCTGGAATTCTAGCTGAGACATCACTGTCCTAGGCCCGCAGGCAAGTTCCCCTACCTAGAAGACGGGGCTCATCAGCCCTGTTTCCTGGGCTGGTTGTGAGAGTTACATAAGGGTAAACAGCGGAGCCCGGCCCAGGGCAGCTTCCATCCCCGACCAGTGGCGCTAATTATGAGATGCAGACGCCAAGTCTTGGAGCCATTCTTGCCCAACTCAGTCTCCTCACCCCAGACCACAGCCGGAGGCCTCCAGAGCCCTAGCTGGAATTACAAGCGATTAAGTGGGATTTGAGGAGCCACTCAAGACACAAACCCACACGTCCTGCCAGATATGAACCCATCCCACTGCAACGACTTCATCTCCCTTCCACCCTCCGGAGGGAGGGCAGTCCACCCTCAGCCCTGGCTGCCCTCAGCTCTCTGGCTTTGGAGAGGACACAGTCGTTCTCCCAGCCCAGCGAGCCCAGGGTGGAGGTGTCCCCAGCCCCTCACCACAGTCCTCCCTCTGCCTGCCTGCTCCTAGCATCACAGGCACCTCCCTGCACCACTGGAGGCCAGGAAAATCTGACGCATGTCTGAAATGCAGTTCCCCCCGCCCCGCCCCCAACTGTGCTCCTCACCCAGGGGGAAGCGAGTGACGGGGGAAAGCAGGATCACCGAGGCTTGATCCAGACTGATGGCGCGGTGTCTGCTCCGATCGCTGGACCTCAGAGATGAATGGTGGCAGCTCGCTGCCAGAGTGGCAGCTCCAGGCCAGACACTTCCAGGTCCAGGAGGATTGTGCCAGCTGCCCGAGCTGAGAAGCCAGATGTCAGGGCAGGGATGCTGGGAGCCTGCACCTGGGGAGGGCCGGGTGTCAGAGCCCACCCGGGGACACACCACCTCCTCCAGGGGACAGATGGGAGGCCCTGCCCTCACGAAGCCACATCGCAGCGCATCCCAGCATTCTCGGACAGCAGCCTGCCCCTCCCTGAATTCATGCACATCAGCCTCTCCTAGGGCGCTTGTTTTAAAAGACCCACCCGAAAAACACTGAATCAGAATCAACTGGAAGGCAGTCAGAACATGCTGGAGTTGTTTGCCACATGGCTTGTCAGATTTTGGTTCCCCAACCAGGAGCTGAACCCCGGGCCCTCAGCAGTGACAGACCGCTAGACCACCAAGGGAATTCCCAGAACATGCACATTTTTTAAATGTCCCCAAGTGATCCCTCAATGGGCCCAAGTTTGAGAACAATTGGTTTACAGGACAAAATCTAGCCCCGGAATTTTTTTTTTTTTTTTGGCCATGCCTGGTGGCTTGAGGGATCTTAGTTCCTCAGTCAGCGATCGAACCCTTGCCCCTGGCAGTGGATGCACTGAATTAACCACTGGACCACCAGGGAATCCCCCAGCCCTGAGTTTTATCCTGGAGGGTATTTTACTATGCCTTTAAGTCTCTTCTTGCTAG